TGTCCTTATTAACCCATATTTTTCTAAGTGAAAATTTATTTTGTCCCGGATTATAGTCTAGAACTTTCCCCACTACTGACGTTAGGCCGACTGGCCTGTAGTTCCTGGGTTTATCCTTCTGCCTCTTTTTGTGCAGGGAGTAACATTTGCAACCCTCCAGTCCACTGGCACCATCCCGGTGTCCAAGGAGGATTGAAAGGAAAAGGAAAAATTTGCAAGGATATGTTGAAAGAGCGGGGAAGTGGGACTGATTGGGTGGCTTTTCCAAAGAGCCAGTACAAGCACGATGGGCCGAATGACCTCCTTCTGCGCTGTAATATTCTATAATTCTATAATACAACACTTGGCCTTCAGCTCCCCTCTCGACTCTCTTCCCCCTCCTCGCTCCCTCCCTTCCCTCCCTTCACCCTGACCATTTCCCCCCTCCTCGCTCCCTCCCTTCCCTCCCCTCACCCTGACCATTTCCCCCCTGTTCGGGTCATGACCCAACTGTGCAGCGCCTTGGGACGTCCTCCTGACGTGAAAGGCGCTTTATAAATGGAATCTTGTTGTTGTTGTTGTTGTTGGCATACAATGAGTGAGAGTCTGCACTGTGGCTCTCAATGGATTCCTGCAAACTGGCCAGATCTGAAATATGGCAATGTAAGAATACATATGCATTTTATTGCACAGAAATTCAACACAACAATGTACAAAGTCGAGGACCTGCCAATAGCCAGGTGTGGTTACTATATGGAAGGTGGAAGCAAGTAAAGGGCAAAACAGAAAATAATGCAGATGCTGGAAATCTGAAAACCAAAAGAGAAATCGCTGGGAGCAGTTCTGACGAAGGGTCATGGACCCGAAACGCTGACTCACTTTCCTTTCTCCATAGGTGCTGCCTGACCTGCTGACTGTTCTCAGCGACTTCGGTTTTTGTTTTCAGGAAGTAAAGGGCAATGGGCATAATTGGGGCGATCTTTCTGTCTAATGTCTTAAAGGTTTGCTGATCAAATAGGGGGTAAATTATTAGTTTCCATATCGTATTTCATATGATAATTGTCACATCAAACGGGTTATGAAATGCTGTTAATTGATCAGCCAGTGCTGCCAATCTGTACTTTGGAGAACGAGAGCCAGAGGGTCCCCATGTGAAAAACTCTGGATTTGAACTCTTTTTGCAGGTTTATTGTTTTCTAGCAACTAACTCACGCTCCTCAATCCTTTCTTACAGTTCAACACAGTGTTAATCATCTACAATCCTGTTGCCTGCAAAGTACACAGTCACTACTCTTTACAATGTAACTCAGAGTACAGCCACTGCACTTTACAGTATATCCTGTTAATACAGTCACTACACTTTGCAGTGTAACCTAGAGCACAGTCACTACACTTTACAGAATAGCCTTTAATACAGTCATTGCATTTTCGGTAAGTCCTACGAAGCAGGTTAAAGTGTTCTTCCAATGTGAAAGACATTATATTAAATGTAAGAATAATTATTATTAATAATAATTTCAGATATGCAAAAATGCCAATTCTTCCCAATACTTCTCGTGAAGTATTGGGAGGGATTGAATGTTAAGTGTCGTGCTGGGGAAGCTGTGTTAAAGTGAGTTATCTACAAACGTGTTTTTTTCCATGATTTAAATGCCGTTCCTGGGCCTGATCTGACCTGACCCTGTGGACTGATGTGGCTGAGTCACAAAATGAGCAGTTTTCTGCTCCTCGAAATTCAAATAATAAAATGCAGATTCCTATTTTTAGAATAATCTCAAATTGTCGGCAGGAAATTGGAAAAAATGTTGAGTCAACAGCGAGAAACCTTGCTGTGTAGTTTGTTACAGTCGCTTAGCATGTCTTTCCCGTTGTGTCGCCCCCACAACCTCTCTGCTCCAGGGTGCCGTCTGAGAAAGGAATCGGTAACTATCTATCAGTGATAGTCTAAGGGGGACCAAAAAACTGACAATATAGACAATATAGAATAATGAGCAATGAGTTTGTGCATGGTACAGATTTCACCCCTTCACTGCCACAAGAGGAAACTCTTGACAAGAATGAGTGTTTAGTATTTTATCAGCCAAGTCTGTTAGGAGGTCTTAGCTTCTGTTGCCTTGTAATTCAGTGTCACGTAGGGACAGTCCTGCTGTCGCTTTTCCAAAGAAATGTGGAGATTTTCTCCCAGTCATCCCATCCTACACTCTCCTCCTAAACCAAGTCTACCTCCAAATCACAAATAACATTCACTTTATTCATGGGAATTCGTGCTAAGAACAATGTTTGTTAGTTTGAAAATCCTATGTAGTTTTTAGAGAAACCAAAAGGATATCACTTCAGTGCTATCTGTAGTTTCTGTAATTAAATAATGGGTAGGTTTGTAGTTCAGATATTACCTGGAAACAATTAATCCTTGATTAGTCTGGGCTCAGAATGGCGCACAATGTTAGCAGTGAAAGATCAGCAGGCCTGGGAAAGGCTGATACGATAAATAACACAGAGACTCAGAAGGGATATTAATAATTGGAGCCACTGGCTCCTTGTGTAATATTTCACATTTCTGTCTTCTTTGAACAAGAGACAAATCTGAGAGCCTAACTATGAACTTTTAGTTTCACAGGAGATCTACGTTTGATTTATTACAACTAAATAAAGGTTCCTGTTCTGAAAGACATCTCAGCCTGATTTAACACACTGTTAATAATGACTAATTTGAACACCCAGTGAATGCCTTAATTCCAATGAAGCGCTGTCAGTTTAATGACTGGGTTCCATGGACTGGTCATTTTCTGCTGACTGGTGTGGATCGGTGCTTGGAGTCTGTTGAGATTTTCCCCGATTTGGTCAGTAATTGGTAGATAAGACATTTGTATCACATTATCCAAACAAGCGAGGCTCCAAGATCTGAGAGCAGTCAGACCTAAATATGTACCCGCGATGAGGTGGCAATTGAATGGGGGAGGTGGTGCCCCTGTGCGGGGGAGGGGAAGAGATTGAGCGGGGGAGGGGAGAATTGAGGAGCTGTTCGGTGAGGAAATCTATTGAGGGTGTAAGGGACAGAGAAGTGAGTGATTTGTTTGCCATCTATTCCGGCCCCAGAATGTTCCTATGATCTCTTGACTCAAAAAAAGTGCAAATGAAGCTCCCGTTAGAGTGTTCCACAAGTCAATGTGGCAAATGGAACTCAAAATCTACACACATTTGGCTCATACCTTACTATCTAATATCACATCATACCAATAATCAGGGTCCTTCATGCACATCTGTACTGCATGTGGGAAGAATTTGAGGATTTACAGGAAAATAATCTTTTGCCTTGTGTACAGAAAAATCTGTTGATACCCGTTTCAATCTTCCAAAGTGAAAGAGTTCAGAAAACAAGAATCAAATCTGCAGCAGATTTTCTGATACAAACAAGGACTATCATTTCACTGTTTGATGGTGGATTTTAATATACATCAATTTGGTCAATAAGAATCTTTGTCCTCCTGATATATCCACCTAGTGAAAATGCTTCCTACCCCGAACGGTCACAGGAACTCTCTGATCTGTTCCTTCTCCCACCATATTTTACAGATCAGAATCAATATATCAATGGTATCTACTTACCATGCTGCATAATATCATAATCCACTTATTAGTGTAGAATCCTAAACACTGAACAATTTATATGCAATACAGTTTATCTTTTTTTACCATAAAAGAGCTTGATTCGCCCACGTTCATAGACCTTAACTGGAGTTTAACTCTCTTATCACATAAACTCACTTAAGCCATTTCACACTCTTTCCTGGTGTAAATAGAGCTATAAGCAAGCCTTGTGCAAGCAAGTACATCACTACATCAGCAGCCTCAAACCTCTTAAGTTAAATTTTAATTTTGTCTGTTTTATTAACACTCTAACCTTATTTCCCCCTATATCTTTGAATTCTTTATTTTTTTATATTACATTCCAGCCTCCTTTACTGTATTAGAAGACCAGCATGTCTGGGGATCACTAATCATTTTACAACAAACAGTTTCTAATATTGACTATTTTTCTGGTTAATATTGATTAAGTTGATGCTGAAGGAGATCTCAAGTACAGCATGGCCGGAATAAACCCCTTCTGTTTTGGTTTAACTCCAATCTCACAGACATGCCTGCGGTCAGTGCTCACATTCCTATGCCCTCCCCACAGGCCTCTCGGCCTTTCTGACATTGCCAGTTCAGGGTCTAACGCCAGACACATGGAGTTCGGTATTGTTGACTTTATGCTCATTAATAGCTTGTTGGGGGCTACAAGACCTGAACTCTTGAGGGATCCTCACAATTATCAGAGAGGGAAAGAGGACTTTCATTGTGGACATCTGAGTTGGTTTCACACTCAAGCCCCCAAATCACTGAGCCATCCACTCCCTAATATGTAGGTATGAGAATAAGGAGGCTTCACTGTGATGGAGTTATAACATTCACACAATACGATGGGAACAATTCAAACATACGACTTAGCTTCAGAACCAGTTGCTCCACAGAGAGGAACACTCACATTTGGTTTCCTGTTTCTGAAACACGAAATGAGAGAGAGCTCTTGCTCATCACATGAAGAGCAGACTGGTAAATTCCAGCAAAACGAAACGGCAACACTTAATAAGTGGCCCTCTCCCCCCCACCCCCCAACTGTCTGCTCGGGTAAACCACAATGTCAATGCAGGAGCTAAAATCAGCTCAAATGAATATTAGATGTATTCAGCTGCAGCTTGCTGGTTCTGTCCAGAACCTGGGTTTTAATCAGTCTTCTATTTGGATGCATTATAAAGAAAATTTGCAAAATGTCTTAAGACTGCAGCTAAATTGAACAAACTTGAAGAGGAGCAAATTAGTCCACTGTGGCCACATGGCCTCAAGGGTCGGGGGCTGCTCATTGGTGCCGAGGGCAGACAGCCTTAGCTGGAAAACGCTGACAGTTAAACGCAGCATCTCTTGTTTATAAAAAAGGAAGCTGAGCGGTTGGTTGTACCCTGGGCTAGGCGGCCTGGGTGCTCTCAAAGCCGGGTGTGAGCCTCGGGGATGTAGATTTCGATGCTGTCCGCACTCTCTGTGGCTGAGTTCTGCCGAAAGGAAGCTGCTCTCTTGGCTGCCATCAGCCTTTTCTTCGCTTCCTGCCTCTGTCTGTCAGCAACTTCCAGGGACCTCTCCCGCGTGGAGGGTAGCTTGCCCCTCAGGGGTTTCTTTGGTATAGAAGGAGGGGGAATCTTCCTTTCGGCCTAGAGGGGAAATAAAAATAGAGGGTTCAGGGGTCTGAGCCCAACTGTAGGCAGAGACCAGGATTACTGATCATCACTCATTACTTAGTGTAATAACAGCTGGAATGAGTTCCCAGGAAGGTGGCCAGAGACCTTGATCAGCTTAATGCTGTGCTGGAAGGATGGTGCTGGGGAGTCTGGAAGGATGAGGTCAAATGGTCTGAAGTGTTTTTTTTCACTCATGATTCTGCATTAAATAATCTCAGTTGAAACTATTGATGTTTGCTGATGTGTTGGTTGTTTTAAGTGCTCATGTATTACTGAACACGGCAACACTGGGAACATGTTCAAGTCAAGTTAAATCATAATTGTTTCTATCTGACATTTATCAGAGTTCAACACTGAATTTAACATTGAATATTACAAAGGGCAATTCCTTCAAGTAGTGATACTCAGCTTTCACCTCAAGTATCACGACAAGTATCAACTCAAGAATCACGTTGGTTCTTTATTGCACTCAGGGTTTTATCCCTGAAAGATCTCGGTGTCTGTCCGGAAAGGGGTGGGGGCTGACAAGCAACAGGAGAATCAAACCCTGACTTGCAACTTGCAAAAAATTTTAAATCCAAGCCTACCTGTTTGTCTGTCATGTCGATTAGGACCCAGTTGTTGGACTTTATCTGTAGAAGTTCATCAAACTTCAGAGTTACATCTTCTACAGACAACTGCAGAAGATCCCAGAATCCCGCAAGGTCCTGGGAGGTAGGCAAAGGGAAAGCGTTCGGGTCCTGAGTGCACAACGAAAGCAGAAAAACAAGTATGGTTATGTTTACAGCTACATTTGTAATCAAGAGCAGTGTTGTCTAGAGGTTCCTGCAAGCCCCATACATTCTCTCTGGCTATCAAAATAATAAGCGTATTTTGTGGGCGTTTGCAGTCACTAGACACAGTCACTACACTTTACAGTAAATATAATATAATGATAATCCTTGCATTTGATATAGCGTCTTATCACGTCTTCGAAACTTCTCAAAGCGCTTCATAGAATATACTGTAAAGTGAATTGACTGTATATTTTGCGGGTGAAACGCGGCAGCCAATTGCGCACAGTAGCGTCCCACAAATAGTCGTAGATTGAGTGACCACATTTTTTTAAAGAGATTATTACCCTCGGAAAAGTGATCCACTAATCGACTAACAATCAGATTCCTACTTACTGCTAGGTAAACAGATGCGTGTGGAGTAAGGAAACTTGCCAACATTTTGCCCTGACTGGGAATCAAACCCAGATCTAAATCCTGTGAAGCGCTTTGAGACATCCTCCTGATGTTAAAGGTATTTAATGTAAGGATTACTATTATTATTCATAAACCTTGCAGTTGATACAGCGACAAAATATCTCAAAGCTTATCACAGGGAATTATTGTCAACTGAGAGCTTGGAGGTATACTTTAAAGCCAATTTGCACACAGCAATGATCCACAAAGAGCCAAGAAGTGAACAACTACAACAACAACAAGAAGAAGATTCCATTTATAGAGCGCCTTTCACGTTGGGAGGACGTCCCAAGGCTCTGAACAGTTGGGTCAGGACCCGAGCATTGGGGGGAAATGGTCAGGGTGAGGGGAGGGAAGGGAGGGAGCGAGGAGGGGGGAAATGGTCAGTGTGAGGGGAGGGAAGGGAGGGAGCGAGGAGGGGGTAGAGAGTCGAGAGGGGAGCTGAAGGCTCGGTCAAAGAGAAAGGTCTTGAGACCGGCCTTGAAGGAGGAAAGGGAAACTATTTCACATGTTAAGCTTCCTTCTCTTTTCTGAATTATCACAAGATCTTTAATGTCCACTTGCATAGTTTAATGTGAATTCTGAAGGCCGGCATCTTTGACACCCAGCGCTCCCCCAACTTCATTGCATAATCAGCCACAACTCTGGACTCAGGTTTACACATGAAGCCTTAGCTGAGAAGCCATATGTAGCAGTAATAGGGCCAGTCAAGAGTCTCACCCGTTTGTCTACATCACACATGAACACAGGATATTCTGGGAAACAGATTAAATATTGGGCTTTGGTCTTCCTTTTCACATGACCCTTTAACATATGATCTAAGGTTGATGTATTCCTGAATTGTCCCTCACAATAGGTGGGTTTACAGAAAGCCTTTCACATCCGCATTGTTGGAGAAGGTTGGAAGGAATGGTTTCACTTGCAGGGCTGTGTGCGATTCATACAAGTGGCAATTGACACAGTATCAATAGGAGACTGGATAAACAGTTGAGCTGTAGGAACACCAATGGAGTGAGGGGGAGAGAGCTGGAAAAGGGAAATGGGTAATTCTGGAGAAGCAGGCAGCGCAGACACGATGGGCAAATTCATTGGGGGAACATAACGTCTCAGTCTCTATGCTTTCATTATCACGCTGTTTCTCAGGCAGGGCTCAGTGTTGAGAACAAAATTGGGATGGTGGGGGGGGAAATGTGAGTAAGAACATTTCCATTTGTTCCTGTTCCTGCTTCTGCTCCTGCCTTTCCTGTGTTTAATTATATGCAGGGACTGATGAATATTATGGGCATAGGCTGTCATTTACCAGGGAGCTATGGCCTTGGTGGGCTCCAATGCGAGGAGGAGAACTAGCGAATGGCCAGCTAGGTGACTCTGGGCTGCACTCATATGGGTGTCAGAGATCTGCTGTCAGATAGGAAAGAGCTTGAGAAGAGCAAGAACATTGACCACATAAATGGGAGCCAGTGATTGCATCAATACAGTGCTGTGTGCTAATTAGCCACTGCGTTTTCCTACAAACACAGTCACTGCACTTTACTGAAAACTCTGTGAGTGCTCTGAGACTTTCAACATGATCAGCCCTATATCAAATGCAAGTAGTATTATATTGTAACGTGCTGTGCTCTACAAACTACTTCAGAAAGCAGTGATGCACTAAAACTGTAGACTCGGACCTGTGACAGAGGCAAATTGACTGGTCACTCTGTGTCTAGCCGATCTCTCTGTGGCTAGCTGGTCACTCTGTGTCTAACCGATCTCTCTGTGGCTAGCTGGTCACTCTGTGTCTAACTGATCTCTCTGTGGCTAGCTGATCTCGCTGTGTCTAGCCAATCATGCTGTGTCTAGCCGGTCACTCTGTGTCTAGCTGGTCAATCTGTCTATCTGTCTAGTCACTCTGTGCACTGGCCCTCGTGCAGCGTAAACTCCACTCTCCACAAACAGTCACTTAGAATAAAGCGATGTGACCAGAGGTTAACTCACTCTGAAGGTCAGACGTGTTTCTGAGACCAGGCTAATAAGACCCACATATTCACAGACCAAGGCTTAAATAAAGGGAGTCTCACCATTAGTGCCCCTGAGGTTCAAAAACAGTTGCAAAGAATTATCATTGGATTTCATTTTTTGGGCAGTAATAATTGGGTTGTTATAAATGTGCCCAGCATGAGGACGTGTGATTTTCTCATCAGACACATGCCATACGGTGAGGAAAAAAATAACAAAGTGGAATAGTTTGCTGGCTTTGCTTATCTCTGTCAGGGGGAAAAGTGCAGTGAGCCATATTATAATAGCCAATGATTATCACATCAACCCAAACTGTGGTTAAAACAGACAACATAAACCTCCCTTCTGTCCCCAGCATCCTCCCTACCCTGTCCCCCTCCCTACCTACCCTCTCCCCCTCCCTCCCTACCCTCTCCCCCTCCCTCCCTACCCTCTCCCCCTCCCTCCCTACCCTCTCCCCCTCCCTCCCTACCCTCTCCCACTCCCTCCCTACTCTCTCCACCTCCCTACCCTCTCCCCCTCACCACCCTCCCCCTCCCCTCCCCACCGTCTCCCTCTCCCCTACCCACCCTCTCCCCTGTCCACCCTCTCCCCATCCCCCTGCCCACCCTCTCCTGAGGTTGAGGACAATAAGAGACTATTTCGACTGCGTTTTTGGTCATCGCGATAATATCACATCGCATTTTACCCCCAGAGCACTGCTGAGTGAAGTGGGACATGTTGCTGGGGTGTGTGACATGTGACCATGAAGCTCGGGGGATTATTGTGTGTTTTGTTAAAAAAAGTTTGATTTTAAAACATGTAACAAAAAGTGGCAGCTGTCCCCGCTACACAGGGAGAACTGCATTACTGACTGCATTGCTGACGCGATTGGTCTCCAGGGATAACACAGCCTCCCTCGCCAGGCTCAGCGGACTCGGAAAGTGATTTTATCTCAACTTCAGGAAAAAAAAGATAGGTTGCTTGTTGAATAAAAACACATGCACAAAAAAATCTTGTTAATGATAATTCTTTGTGAGTAGGTTTTTAAAACAGACAGTGATGGAGAGAGTCATTGTGTGAAGATGAGGACAGTGTTGAGGGAACCTCAAGCAGCCCACAGCACACGAAACACAGGCCTCCAGAACTGACTGAGCACCGACGGGCAATTCACCATATTCTGTTGGCAAAGGCGGAAAAACTGCTGGAACTTCTGGGACATGAGAAGCTGGGCGCTCCCCACCGCACTGCGGATCTTCTCCAGAACTAAAACACAAGACAAAGGCCGTGAGGACAGCAGAACTAACCCCAGAACTCGCTCACTCATCCGCTTGCTCACTCATCCGCTCGCTCACTCATCCGCTCGCTCACTCATCCGCTCGCTCACTCATCCGCTCGCTCACTCATCCGCTCGCTCACTCATCCGCTCGCTCACTCATCCGCTCGCTCACTCATCCGCTCGCTCACTCATCCGCTCGCTCACTCATCCGCTCGCTCACTCATCCGCTCGCTCACTCATCCGCTCGCTCACTGAGGTATTGCAGGAAAATAGCCCACGGCACACACCACCCACACTGACATTTATTGCGGTGAAGTTCACATTCCCCCCATTTACTTTTAGTTGTTTCTGAAAGTAACTTTTTTGCAATGATCAAACCCACGTTTTGCAACTGCCCAGGGCTCTGGGATACGGATAATAACACTGATGTCAGCCAGGCCTGCGTCAGAGCAGTGAGTGCCTCAGCCGCTGGGGTTAGTGAGGGAGGGGAAGCTCAGCCCCAGCCATAGCTCCAACCCCAGCCCCAACCAGGTCTCACTCACTCCCCATCGCTGCCCATACTGTGAGCTCTGAGTGTAGCCAAGAGCTGGCTCACTGGCAAATAACACAGTCCCCACCACCACCCACCACCATCCATTAACAGACACCATGTAATTGTGGTTGTTGGTGAATAAAAACAATGTTAATAGCCCGAGAACAAGCCTCACTGGCGATGCCGAGGTTGAATAATGTACAAAAGGTAATAAGATTAAAAGGCTCAGACTCTAACACACAAACATGACATAGAAATGTAATGTATAATATATACATGAATATATAATAAAGTGTGAGAATGTGTCAGAAGCTGAACCAGAAAGCATCAATGTGTTTAAGACAAAACTTGCCACATACATGAGAGAGAAGAGAATAGCGGGGTGTGGGAGAGAGAAACAGAGGGGTGTGGGAGAGGGGAATATGTTCTATAAGTTCTATGATAGGAGTGTGGGAGGGGAATAGAGGGGTGAAGATTTGGGTGGAGTATAAATGGCCAATGGCATGTTTCTGAGCTGTATTGCTCTATGTCTGCACCCCATCACCATGTACCATTATAACTGCGCTGTAACGTGCAAATGTAGCAAAAGGCAAAGGCTGAGGCCTCAGTTACAGAGACGCACCCTCCTCAGGCAGGTCGTTCTCCTCAGCTTCTCGCTCCATCTGCTGGCACCAGCCCTCCAGACGCTCCACCTCTGCCTGCAGCAGCTTGATGAACCAGTCGCCGTCCCTGTGACACGGCGATGCCCTGCCCGTGTCTGTCAGGCTATGAGCCCCTGCCTCTGCCCACGCCTCTGGCCGCTGCCCGTCACTGTCACAGCGCACACGGTAATCCTCGCGGTAGGCCCACTGGCCCTGTGTGTGCACAGTTCGGAAGCCGGTGTACTCGCTGGGCGGCTCGGGATCCGAGGAATGCCGCTGGAACGGCCGGCCGAACTGGAAACCCTTGTCCACAGAGCCGCCAGCCAAGCCCACCATCTCCTCCAGCTCCAGATCCGCCTGCACGCTGGTCGTCACGCTGTTTGAACGCTTAAACCTGGCGTGTCTGGGCCGAGGAGAGAATGTGGGAAAAGTAGGTATTGGTGAAACACAACATAACTCAGGACCACGGCTGCCAGCTGTCCCTCTGTGAGTGTTCAGCTCCTCTGGGGCTCCAAGCCGGCCTGTGGGGCTTATGTAAGACTGTCTGTGGATGAGCGACTGGGGGAGGAGAAGGGCGAAGGGGAAGGGGGATGGGGGAGGTAGGTAGCTCTGTGCTGTCCTCACAGCAACTCATTACAGAAGTATAATCCTCCTGTTTGATGCAGCACCTTTCATGTCGTAGTCGCAATGCATTCACAGAATTAACTGCAAAGTGTAGTGACTGTGCATATTGTAGGCAGAGGCCAGATGGACTTGGACATGTTCCTGCTGCGGCCACCGGAGGGAAGCCAGGGAAGGAATTGTGGCTGCGGCAGGCCGAGGTAGGGGTTGAGGAGGGGCTATGAGCGGGGCCTGAGGTGGTCTGGGGCAAGGCCTGGGATGGGGCGGGGCCTGACATTGGGGAATGGGGGGGACTGGCAGGGCTTAACTCCTCTTCTGAAGCAGGAGATAATATTCAACAATAATCGGAACGAAATGTTGGAACCTTGTGCCGAGTGTGCAGACTTACCGTTTGTCGTCTTCCACCTGCACCCCGATGGAGTGCACCTCCCGAAGACACTTGCTCTCGGTATCGGAATCGGTCATCGTCTCTGAACTGTCCACCTGAGGGAGTGAACCACAAGCTGTCACACGTGGCCCAAGTCACACTGACACCGATCAGGGCGGCTATGTCAGAAACTACCAGAAAGTCAGAGGCGGGAACCTGGGCCAGCGTGAAGCGTGGGGTCACAGTCACAGGCCACGGGTGTGGGATGCAAAAGACCTCTCCCCCCCAACCTCCATAGAGAACTCTGAGGAATTTCTAGAAAGATCTCTGAGGATTACTGAGATTCGGGGAGGAGAGACAGGAACAGAATTTCCCAATGCAATTATTTACAGATTTTCTCAGGGAATCTCGTGGGACAGAGTGATTCCTCGTGTCTATGTGTTTCACCGCACATTCCTCATCAGCCGGAACTGACAGCAGCAGTACAGCCATGACGGACTGAACGGGGGAGAAAGAAAGGGTGGGAGAAGAGCACGGCTGGTAAACTGAGAGAAAAGTGAGGGGGTACAGGGAAGCGGGAGGGGGGAGGCGGGCAATGCACACATGAAGAGAAAAGGACAGCAAAAGGAATCACGGAAATGAACAGATTCTTGATCCAGCAATAGAACCATGAGAATCCCCAGGGACCTGTCTCTAGACAGATGGCTTCCTGCGTTCCCATTTCCAATGAGCAAGAGGTGCTGCCTACAACACCACTCACGCAGGGTAGCGGCTCAGAGCACCTACAACAACAACAACAAGATTACATTTGTATAGCGCCTTTCACATCAGGAGGTCATCCCAAGGCACCTACCTGTATCCCAATAGATGAACGCCACTTCCTTTGGCGAGGCTCTAACTTTGGTTCATCGCGGCTCAGGATCCCTTTGTAAACGCCGGCTCCAGGGGAGCTCTTCATTGAAGAACGAATGGGAGCTGACAGTTCCAAGGCCATAGTCAGTGCTTTGGAGCTGTTGAGACTGTCCGTGGAATTGCAGTGTGTCCGGACATCTCGGGACCAGGGTGTGGGGCGGTGGGGCTCGCTGGGTGGGTAGGTGTCCTGCGTAGACTCGGTGCTGCTCTGGGCCGTCACTGAGATCAGCGGCTTGATGGCCATCCGGGGAGGGACAGGAGGAGCTTTCTTGTAATTAAACGCTGCAATCAGGATTCAAGACACAATAATTCCACAAAACCTTTTATCTTTCCAACCAGTGGGTGACGCTGTTCATTAAAGGCTCAGGCTTCCGCACTTGGCGGCTAATAACCTGACCCACAGGCAATTCCATACCAATTGGTATGTTTGTAAACTGGTTCTTTCTGCGCTCATAAATAATTCTAGTGCAATTTTAAAAGTGTAATTTAATTTGACATTTTTTTTTGTTTGGCTGCAAATTCTCCTCCCCTCCTGAGGCGTTTGACTTCTTTTTAGCTTCTACTGATTCACGGTGCTTTAGACCCACACACCCTCTGGTGCTTTGCCCAAGTGACTATAGGCCACATGTGAGTGTGCGGCTTCCCACAGCCAATTCCACCCCCTGGCTTGGCTTTTGCTGTGGCAATGTTCAAAACAAATACAACCTACATTGGATGAATGAGATCAATTCTCATGTAATTCACAGAATAATATAAACTAGTTATATCAAATGCAAGGATTATTATTATTATTATTAACATCCTTCCTATAGTGCGGTGCCCAGAACTGGGCGCAGTATTCTAACTGAGGCCTAACCAGTGTTTATATAGGTTAATCATAACCTCCTGACTCATGTACTCTATGCCGTTATTTATAAAGCCTAGAATAATAATAATCCTTGCATTTGATACAGCGCTTTTCACGTCGGGAGGACATCCCAAAGCGCTTCACAGAACACACTGTAAAGTGAATTGACTGTATATTTGTGGGCGAACGCGGCAGCCAATTGCGCACAGCAATGTCCCACAAACAGTCGTGGATTGAAAATGACCAATTTATTATTGTTTTGTTTTGGAGGGATTATTATTAGGCTCTGTGTGGAGTAAGGAAACTTGGCCAAGGTTTGGCCCTGTGCCTGGAATTGAACTCAGGTCTCTCACTTGCAAAGCAAGTGCTCTAACCACTGAGCTACAGGACTCCATATGCCCTTTTTACAGCCCTATCTACCTGTCCTGCCACCTTCAAAGATTCATTTACCTGCACCCCCAGGTCTCTCTGTTCTTTTACCCCCTTAAGATTGTATTACCACCTATATTGCCCCTCATTCTTTCTACCAAAATGCATTACCAGCATTTCCCCATATTGAAACTCATCTGCCATGTGTCGCCCATCTTACCATCTGTCTATGTCTTCCTGCAGTTGGCTCCTATCCTTCTCATTGTTTACCCCCTCCCTAACTTTGTGTCGTCCGCAAACTTGGATATGGTGCTTGCTATACCCACGTCCAGATCATTTATGTATATTAAGAAGAGCAGTGGTCCTAATACCGATCCCTGGGGGACACCACTGTACACGTCTCTCCAGTCAGAAAAGCAGCCGTTCACCACAACTCTCTGCTTTCTGTCTCCCAGTGAGTTCTGGATCCGCTGCCACTGTCCCTTTTATACCATTGGCTTCTAACTTTCTTACAAGTCTTTCATGTGGCACTTTGTCAAATGCCTTTTGAAAGTCCATATTAACTACATCAACTGCACTACCTTTATCCACTCTCTCCGTTACCTCATCAAAAAATTCTATTAGATTTGTTAGACAAGATCTGCCTTTAACAATCCATGTTGGCTGTCCCTAATTAACCCATATTCTTGATGTTAGGCTGACTGGCCTGGAGTTCCCAGGTTTGTCCTTCTGCCCCTTTTTGTACAGGAGAGTCACATTGACCACTCTCCAGTCCTCCGGCACCACTCCTGTGTCCAACAAAGACTGACAAATTGTGGCCAAAGCCTCCACTATTTGTACCCGTACCTCCCATAGTAACCTCGGCTGCATCCCGTCCGGACCGGGCGACTTATCACCTTCGGCCCAGTCAACCTTTTCAGTACTTCCTCTCTGTTTATACTTATCCTCTCCGTTTCCATTTGGTGCTTCCACTTCTTTTGTGAAAACAGATGCAAAGTACTCATTCAGCACATCAGCCCTCTGCCTCCACAATAAGATTGTCCCCTTGGTCCTTAATTGGCCCCACCCTACCTTTGACTAACCTTTTTTTCTTGATATGCTTCTAAAATATTTTAGAATTCCCTTGAATGTTACCCTCTAACCTTTTTTCGTATAATCTTTTCCCCCTCTTATTTCCTTTTTCAAACCTCTTCTGCACTTCCTATATTCTATTTGGTTGTCTTCTGTATCTTGGGTTTGACATTTGTCATACGCCTCCTTTTTCTGCTTCATTCCAGATACAATTACCTTTGTCATCCGGGGAGGTTTGGAAGCCCTACTTTTCCCTTTTGTGGGAATGTATTTATTCTGTCCGTGAGCTATCTCATCCTTGAAGACTTCCCACTGCTCGTTAGTTGTTTTACCCGCCAATCTTTCTTTCCAGTCCACCTTGGCTCGGTCCCTTTTTAACTCACTGAAATTTGCCCTCTTCCAGTTGAATATCTTCACCTTAGATGGTTCCTTGTCTCTTTCATATGCACTGGCTGTGGGGGTGGAGCCAGTGTGGGGGTGGAGCCAGTGTGGGGGTGTGCTTGTGGAGTGTGTGTGTGTGTGTTGGTGTTGGTGGGTACTCACAGGCACTGGGTTTCCTGGCGCTGACGGCTATGGGCGGCCGTATGGGGGCCATGGAGAACCGGGGCAGGCAGTCGTCGTCCTGTGAGCAGCCAGCCTGGATGGCACGCAGGTAGCTGTGGCTCCGCATCCGGAAACAGCCGGGCAGGTCCAGGGCTTCCACTGCCTGTGACTCCACCTCCCCGAACACTGACTCACACACCACCTCAAACTGTCTGCTCACATCACCCTCACCAACCTGCAGCACAGAACACATCAGGGGGCAGCACAACACAGCTTACATTTATACAGCACCGTCATGGTGGGAGGACATGACCCTATACCAATCACCATTTGTCTCCTCCGCTCACCCTCTCATGCCTCGCCCATCCTCACCTTGAAAGCCAACTGTGAGGCGATGCTGGACGTCTCGAATCCAAAGTCGAGGGGAACCGCTCAGCTGCCTCTGCCCTTCCATCTGCTACACCCTCCCCATCGCCCCCTCCCAACCCGGCCCCTATCCATCCCTCACTCCACACCTTTGAACCTTTCTCCTACTCCTCTCTCACCACCACTATAACCCGCACGAAACTGACCACCACCTCCCTCGAACCCATCCCTAACCCTCTCCTTTCCTCCCAGCTCCACCTCCTTGCCCCAATACTCACAGACATCATAAACCTCTCCCTGTCCACTGGTACTGATCCCACCCCATTAAAAACCATCGTCATCGCTCCTGTCTTTAACAAACCCTCCCTGGACCCATTCCTGCTCTTAAATTACCACCCCATCTCCAACCTCCAACCTCCCTTTCCTCTCCAAGGTCCTTCCTCTCCCGCCACTCCCTTCCCGAACCTCTCCAATCGGGTTTCCGTGCCGCCCATAGCACAGAAACAGCTCTGGTCAAAGTGACAAATGACATTCTGTCCATCTGCGACCAGGGCTCCGTCTGCCTCCTCGTCCTCCTTGACCTCTCTGCTGCCTTCGACACCGTCGACCACTTTATCCTCATCCACCGCAACCTTCACGGCGCTGTCCTTAACTGGTTCAGATCCTACCTTTCGCACCATCTCAACTTCATCACCACAAACGGCTTCTCCTCCAGCCCTCGCACGTCTCGTGCGGTGTTCCTCAGGGCTCTGTCCTTGTTCCCCTCCTCTTCAATATCTATATGTCCCTCTTGGTGACATCATCCACAGACATGGGGTCAACTTCCACATGTATGCGAATGACACCCAACTCTATCTCTCTGCCTCCACCCTCGACTCCAGGACCTACTGCTGTCCTGACAGAGTGTCTGTCAGACGTCAAGTCCTGGATGAGAGTGAACTTTCTTCAGTTGAACGTCAACAAGACCGAGGCTCCTGATTGGCTCCCGTCAGCGCGTTCTCACCTCAGGCGCTGACAGCATCACCATCCATGGGGCTCACTCCCCCTCACTGAGCCGGGCAGGAACCTTGGGGTCTTGATTGACCCTCAACTATCCTTTCTACCCCACCTCTGTGCCATGACCCGCTCTGCCTTCCCCACCTCCGCAACATCACCCGGCTCCGCCACTGTCACACACCGCAGCCCCCGAGACCCTCACACACGCATTCATTACATTGAGGCTTGACTATGCAAACTCACTGCTTGTTGGCCTCCAACTCCTCCCTCCATTGGCTGCAATTCATCCAGAACTCTGCAGCCCATGTCCTCTCCCTCACCAGGCTCCGCAACCCTATCACCCCCATCCTCGCCCGACTCCACTGTCTTCCCATCACACAGAGGATACAATTCAAGATCCTGGTCCTTACCTTCAAAGCCCTCCATGGTCTTGCTTCCTCCTAATCTGTAACCTCCTAATCCCTTACCATCCTGCTCGATCCCACCGCTCAGCGGGCTCTGGCCTGTTTCATGTCCCTGCGTCGCTTACACCACCATTAGCGGGCAGGCCTTCTGTCACTCTGCCCCCACCCTCTGGAACTCCATCCAGCAGTCCCTCCATTTCGCCCTCTCCCTTGCCTCCTTCCAAGACCCGTCTGAAGACCCTCCTCTTTGACCATGCTAACAATCTCCCTGTTTCCCCCCTGCCCTCCATCATCCCCGATCCCGACCCCCAACTCGGGTCCAGTGCCTTGGGACATTCTCCCGATGTGAAAGTTGCTATATAAATGTAATTTAAATGTAATTTTTTGTTGTTTACATGACACTATAATAGTCATTGCATGAACAGACATTCCTGCAAAAAAAATCTTATCGTAACAGATGCTGACTGGCTGCAGTGAGTGAACCCTCAGGGAGACTTCAGAATGCACTGAGTTAAAGAGACCTGAACTCTGGAAATCTGAAATCAGAGCGGCAATTGCTGGAGATGAACATGAAGGTGTATTGTACTCTGTTCCATGCACACACCTCAGCCCACAGCTCAGACTCTCCAGTCAGTGCTACCTAAACCTGTCTTTATTGATATACAAGACAATGAAGTAAATGATCAACAACTTGCAGTATTGCACAGCGACGATAATAATAAAACCTTGTATTTGATACAGCGCCTTATCATGCCATTGAGATGTTTCAAAGTGCTTTGTTGGGTTTGGTGTAAAGTGTGTAACCGTGGAATGGAAAGGCTGAACAGAGAAACCCCTCAGCCAGCAGCCTTATACCAGCGATTGAATCCAATAGAATAATTTTACCGTGGAGTCCTGTAGCTCAGTGGTTAGAGCACTCGCCTTGCAAGCGAGACACCTGAGTTCAATTCCAGGCAGAGGGCGAAACCTTGGGCAAGTTTCCTTACTCCACACAGAGCCTAATAATAATCCCTCCAAAACAAAACAATAATAAATTGGTCATTTTCAATCCACAACTGTTTATGAGACTCTGCTGTGCGCAATTGGCTGCTGCGTTTCGCCCAAAAATATACAGTAAATTCACTTTACAGCATAATCTGTGAAGCGCTTTGAGGCATCGAGAAGAAGAAAAGCACAATATTAAACGCAAGGATTATTATTATTATTATTATTTATGATGAACAGCAAACTTTCCTCCCTTCAGCCCTCACTGCTGCCCTCGTCACAGTGCTTCTAAGAAGGGTTGTTTCCTAACGACAACCGTGAGGTATTGGGATCTCAGCTGCCCTTCCCTGTGGGAGGGTTTAGAGTCACAGCAAACCCACTGCTTACCTGGTGGTTGGTGCTGAGCATTCGACTATAAGCCTGACTCCGGGGCAGCAGCTTGGGGCGGAGACTGGAGCGATGCAGGTTATCCAGGCTGTAGTTCATTGACGTCTGTCCCTGCAGGCCAGCGTGGCTGCATATGTACGGCTCCAAGCAATGCTTACAGCTGAACCTAGTGAGAAAGAGAGAAACATATCATTGTTCAGCCAGGCTTTTATGCTCTCTGTTCCGGCCAGGAAACCTTGCTTTATTCTACAATTGAAGCTAATATCCCAAATAACGGTCAACCAATTATTGGTCCCGAGCTAATCAACAGCAAGGATTATAGATGTAACTTAGCCACCGACAGATTCCCAATACACAAACCAACAACAGCAGAACTCCACACAATGGGTGAGGTCAACCAGTGTCTCCCAGCCAGTGCGAACCGTTAAGTTATCTGGAGGATTGATTATCAGGGCAACAGAAAGAAGTCTCTTCTCTTTGCTAATAATGTTATGGCATCCAGTAGAATAATGAGAAATTAGGTTTAACATCTCTTCCAAAAGAACTGGAACTCCAACAAGCAGCACTCGCCCAGCACTGCACTGGAGTGTCAGAGTTCAAGTCCTGATGTGGGACATGGACCCACAGCCTTCTGACCCAGAGGCCGACTGAGGCTCATTGGTAACATATTCCCCCCCCCCGGACCAGCAAACCAGCACACGGTGCAGAGAGTCTGAGGATTGAGGGGAAAACAATTGAACAAAAATTACAGGGAGAGTGAGATTTTAAAAAATCAAACCTTCTCAATCATGTGAACAAAAGGTTCCATTTATGGACAGGAAGGTGTGCTGCAACGTTTCCAAATTGTCATGTACCTATTTCATTTATCTGCAGCGCTGAACTATAGCTCACAGATAATTGTTGCATTATTACTGCCAACCTTCAGTAGCTCACAGTGTTTGAGATATCTTAAAATGACAGGTTAACAACGTGTCCAGAAACAAGCCTCTCGGGGTTTATGAGGTTTTCCTTCTCTTTCATCTGAACTGTCTGGAACATTACAGTATTGACATGGATATCAGCATAATCCTAGGGGAGCAGTGACCTGCACATACTCAATCACTACACTTTACAGTATATCCTGAGTATATATATTTTTATATAAAACCGTAGAACCAGAGGACACGGCCTGCGATTAAAGGGGGATAAATTCAGAACAAATCTCGGAAACACTACTTCAGTAAGATGAGTAGTAAACTCATGGAACAGGCTCCCTAGGGAAATGGTGGATCACAAAATGTTATTTGTTTCATGAACAAATGAGATAGATTTCTGCTAGAAAATAATATCTGGGAATACAGTACATAGTTTGGGACACGACACATCAAGCGAGTGCCAGGATGGTGGAAGGTGAACTAGATGGACCTTGGTCTTGTTCGTCCAGGAAATTCTTATGTTCTTATGTTCTTGAGTGCTTTGAGACGTCCTCCTGACATGAAAGGTACTGTATCAAATGTAACCAAGCAAACAGCGACTGTATAACAGCCAGCCTGAGGTGTCCTGCAATCTATTCACTTTCATCTGCTATCTCCAGGTGGCAGCAAAGGCTGCACATTAACATGGACTGTGGCCGAGATTGGGATGTTTTAGACACTTGGTGACATGATGCTCCACAGGACACAGTGAAAATACCGTCGATAGATTACGTGAGGATCCAGGCATCTCTGTTACACTCCAGAGCTGTGTATGTCTCTGTTACACCCCAAAAAAATCACATTGTTATTTACAGGTCTGCAAAACAAACACCATTCACCATCGCTGCTCCCTGTAAATAATAACAATCAGTGCTTTTAACATCGGGAGATCGTCTCCACCATGGCACAGGATACACTGGAGCAAAGTGTAGTGACTGTGTATTCTGCAGGCAATTTGCACACAGCAACATTCCACAAACAATCTTGAAGTGACTGACTAATTTTATCAGAGGGATTGTTGGCCAGGACACCAGGGAAGATTCCACACACTATTCAAGAAGAACCTCCACCTGGAATGTTTCAACATTTCATTTGAAGACGGCACCTCTGACAACGCAGCATTCCCTCATCACCACATTGGGGTGTCAGGCTAGACTGTGAGCTCAAAGTCCTGACATGGGGGCTTGAACCCACAAAGGTCTAACTGAGAGGCAAGAGAGCTACCGACTGAGCCAGGCTGGCACATCGATGTGTGTCGATGGAATGGGCTCTTGAGTGACGTCCTGAGCTCAGTCTGTGTCGAGCTCATTAACTTCTTTTCGGGCAGTGGGAGTGGACGACAATGATTGAAATCCAGTGTGAACAGGAACTGACTGGAAGAAGGAAAGGGTTAATTGTCGATTCCACAGAGAAATGTTCGCTGCTGAGCTGTGAGGCGGGAGTGATGCCAGCGCTCAAAATGGAATTTTTTTACCCATTTGATTTTTTAAAATTTGTTCTCAGCAACAAGCCCTCGAAGTGAGGCTCAGCACAGACAGCCCTCCCCCAGCCTGTCCCCGTCCCTGTCCCCGTCCCCGTCCCCGTCCCCGTCCCTGTCCCCGTCCCCGTCCCCGTCCCTGTCCCCGTCCCTGTCCTTGTCCCCGTCCCTGTCCCCGTCCCTGTCCCTGTCCCTGTCCCTGTCCCTGTCCCCGTCCCCGTCCCTGTCCCCGTCCCCGTCCCTGTCCCCAGCCTCAGAGCTGCCTCTGACTGAGCTGCACAATCAAGAGATTTCCATTTCCATTCCCCTCCTCACGGCCTCTCTACGGCCACAGTCAGTCTGGTGTCAGTTCACGCGGAAACACTGACAATGTTGTGCTCTCAGCTCAGAATCACTGGGGACTGGACGGAGAGTGCACATAGCCTCATTCCCCTGGGACAGCGAGTCCCATCCCATCCCATCCCATCCTCAGGCCTGAGCACAAACCCAGGGCCCAAAAGTGAAAGGAACTGTGCAACTTGCCTGTTCCATCCAAATCTCTCTTATTTTCCACGTTTAACAGTACAGTGCGGTCAGTTTTAGGCACAATATACTTTTCACTACTGGATAATGGCAAGACCTTACTGCAACACTGACCAATACACAGTGTCACACTTAACCCTACACACTAGGCGTGAAGTGATCCCTTACACACCGGGTGTGAACTGGTCTCTTACACACTCAACTCTTAGCTGATCCCTTACACATCGGATGTGAACTGATGGCTTACACGGTGGCTGTCTGGCGGCCAGTCTGTGCTGGTGTCCCAGTGCGGAGGTTGGAAAGGTTCGTTGCCCGGTCACTGCCCTATGTCCTGTGTTGGGCGGGTGCAGAATGTGGAGGTGGGGCCGGGTGTGACTGACGTTATTGAGACAATTGTTCAGCAAGCGACCCGCCCGGGCATTCTCAGCCTCTGCTTCTTGCTGGAAATCTCCCGGCTCATCTCCCAGCGCTCCACATGCCGTTGCTTAGCAACTTGCAGAAGCTGTGTGAGGGCAGGAGGTCAGAGCACTGCTGATTTATTTCTGTTCGAACGCAGTTTGGCTCCTGCGTCAATTGTATTAATAAATATAAAGTGTCTGGGCCGGGGAGGAGATGCTAACACAGTGTGTGATGTGATTCCCACTTTACCCAAAAATCCCTTTCAGGTGCTCTGGTTGAGACAAGGCCTCGCTCGCTCGCTCACTCACTCGCTCACTCGCTCCCACACACGGCAATGCTATCACAGAGCGCGTCTCAGATCAACCTGTTATAATCCTAGCAATTGATACGACGCCTTATTATGTTGTCGAAACAATCTCTAAGATCTTTGCAGTATATTGCTATAAAATATAGTGTTGGTGGGTGAACGCAGCAGCCAATTTGCGCGCAGTAATGTCCCACAAACAGCCACAAAGCGAATTAATAGCATTAATACCTGCATTACAGAGTTCTGAGTTGGTGATGTAAGGGCCCGGGCAGTGGTCGTTCGATGTTTTATAAATAGCTGCTTCCCACGGGATTCAGAGCAGGAATTCTCCGGGGCAGAGTAGAGGAAGGAAGGCTTCCTGCTCCTCATCACTCCACATTCTGGAGCAAGATTTCAGGCTCAGCTTCTTACACAGAGTAATACGGCACAGAAACAGGCCGTTCGGCCCAATTAGCCTGTGGCAGTGTGTGTGAGCACGGTGTACCCCGCAGGCTGCTGTATGCCTTACCAGATGTAAAGCAGGTGCCCCCATCAGCTAACAGGCCAGAGAGAACTGGCAGGAGGGCAGGGCAGGGCAGGGCAGGGCAGGGCAGGGGTGGGCAGGGCAGAGCAGGGCAGGGCAGGGCAGGCAGGGCAGGGGCAGGGCAGGGCAGGGCAGGGGAGGGGAGGGGAGGGGAGGGCAGGGCAGGGCAGGGGCAGGGGCAGGGCAGGGCAGGGGAGGGGCAGGGGCAGGGCAGGGCAGGGCAGGGCAGGGCAGAGCAGAGCAGAGCAGGGCAGGGCAGGGGCAGGGGAGGGGAGGGAGGGCAGGGCAGGGCAGGGCAGGGCAGAGCAGGGCAGGGCAGAGGCAGGGCAGGGCAGGGCAGGGCAGGGCAGGGCAGGGCAGGGCAGGCAGGGCAGGGCAGGGCAGGGCAGGCAGGGCAGGGCAGGGCAGGCAGGGGCAGGGCAGGGCAGGGCAGGGCAGGGCAGGGCAGGGCAGGGCAGAGCAGGGCAGGGCAGGGCAGGGCAGGGCAGGGCAGGGCAGGGCAGGGCAGAGCAAGGCAGGGCAGGGCAGGGCAGAGCAGAGCAGGGCAGGGCAGGGCAGAGCAGAGCAGGGCAGGGCAGGGCAGGGCAGGGCAGGGGAGGGCAGGGCAGGGCAGGGCAGGGCAGGGCAGGGCAGAGCAGGGCAGGGCAGGGCAGGGAGGGCAGGGCAGGGCAGGGCAGGGCAGGGCAGGGCAGGGCAGGGCAGAGGCAGGAGGCAGGGCAGGGGCAGGGCAGGGCAGGGCAGGGCAGGGCAGGGCAGAGCAGGGCAGGGCAGGGCAGGGCAGGGGCAGGGGAGGGCAGGGCAGAGCAGGGCAGGGCAGGGCAGGGCAGGGCAGGGCAGAGCAGGGCAGGGCAGGGCAGGGCAGGGCAGGGCAGGGCAGGGCAGGGCAGGGCAGAGCAGGGCAGGGGAGGGGAGGGGAGGGAGGGGAGGGAGGGGAGGGGAGGGGAGGGCAGGGCAGGGCAGGGCAGGGCAGAGCAGGGCAGGGCAGGGCAGGGCAGAGCAGGGCAGGGCAGGGGAGGAGAGGGGAGGGGAGGGAGGGCAGGGCAGGGCAGGGCAGGGGAGGGGAGGTGTGGGCCTGTAATACAGTTCAAGCCTTTTCAGGCTATGAGTGGAAAGTACTTTCATTTTATCTGAGAGGCGTCACATTTCACTCGCTTGCAATCAGCAAACTGCAAATCTCGATTTGTGTACAGTGGACAGCGAATACAACAACAATACAATTATATTTGTATAGCGACCTTTCATGTCGGGAGGACGTCCCAAGGCACCGATACAGGGTACAAAAGGCTGACACTTGTGATGTGTGCATGCGTGTCTCTCGCTCTCTGCCAGTGACGAGGGACATACAAACTGTGGGAAATTGAACAAGCTGAAACAACCCAATATTTAAGATAAAAATAAAAACAACAGTCGCTGGGTACACTGAGAAGGTCAGGCAGCATCTATGGAGAGAGGAAAGTGAGTCAACGTTTCGGGTCCACGACAGGGTGGAACATTGACTCACTTTCCTCTCCCCATAGATGCTGCCTGACCTTCTCAGTGTTCCCAGCGACTTCTGTTTTGATTTCAGATCTCCAACACCTGCAGTGTTTTGCCTTTTCCAATATTTAAGAACCGGTTGATTTGCGGTGATGTTAAGAGAAGCAGCTCTGGTTAGCTACAGCAGCCAAGACGATGATATAAGATCTTGCCCAGCTCGGGGCTGGTGTCCTCCTGCTGTCCTGTCTGACCCACAGCCTCATATCACCTCTGCCATTAGCATTAACAGCACAGAGAGAGATGAGCCTTACTTGGAGTGCCTCTGCTCGCTGCTTGCTGGGCCGCAAGGTTGCAGATAACTCTCTTGCTGAGAGGCTCCCTTTGGTGACATCTTCGGGCTTGCGTCCGAGTCCCCGCTCTCGTCATCCCCCATGGCTTTGATGTAGCTGCCACTGCGCATTCTCCGACAGGGGATTTCTCCGTCCTTAGTCACTACTGGGTACCCGCCAGCCCAGTCATCCTGTGGTACCTGGAGGGTCACACGTACACAGCGGGTTTAGAAGCTGCCGACAAGCCTCACACAAAATACGCAGGTGATAGAGTTATCACTGGCCAATGTAATGCACCTCACAATCCCAAACCAATGGCTTCAATAATCTCCGCGTGATAAACCTAGATCGCGCAGTGAGGTCAGTGCATGATCTGCTTCTCTGTGTTTTTGAAACATCGCTACATAGGAACAGGAGGAGGCCATTCAGCCCCATGAGCCTATTCCACCATTCTATTAGATCATGGCTGATCTGTACCTCAACTCCAATTATCCCTTGATAACCGTGAGGTGGAGTGTTTGGGGAGAGACACTGTTAGGATCAGTGATGGGGAATCAAAGCCAGAAACACAGAAATAATTTCTACTGAGGCATCAACTGGTCAGCAAGGTAGGATGCATTTCTCCTGTCCTTGATCAAGAAATAGGGCAGCGGCAGGGAGGTGTCAGACTGTGACTTACATTTAATAGCTCAATCAACAGATTGATCCTGCTCCCATTGCAAGTATCAATAGGTGTAACTAATAGTGGAAACGTGGGCATACTGGGCTTATAACATTGACTGTCTTGCTCATGACCCAAATTACACCTAGGCCTAGCTGTGAGACCATTTTTGTCTTTTGCCTAAAATCACAGAGTCACTAAACTTTGCAATAAAACCCTGGGTAGCTGTTTGAGATGTCCTCCTAACTTGAAAGGCGCAATATCAAATGCAACAATTATTATTTATAATACATTTATTATTATTAATAATAATACATTTATTATTAATAATACATTTAGGATGGTTCTGAACTGGGGAAATTCTTAGATCTGGTCAAAGATGTTTTTCTGTAGTTTGTAAAAACTAATCAGTTCCCAAATGAAGACTTTAACAATTGATATCCAGGGCAGTTCTGCAGTAAACATCTGAACCCCACACCAGCCCAGAAGTGAAAACTGTCAGGTTTCCTAACACATTCGATAAGTATTCAAAGACAAATGTCAAATCTGTGACGAAAGGTTCCATTTTTTCCAATCCTCGGCTTCGCTCTGTACAAACACCTGCTCTCAACAGCTCGCTCGTCCACTGGACATTGCCCAGAGACCATTTTACTGCAAGGCTGCTGTGCTCCGTAAACAATGGTACAAATTGGCTTACTTTAGATTCTGAAAACCAATACCAGTGAATCCTGATTAGTCCCTGCTGGAAACAAACATTTCCTATTATCCTGTTTAAGTAAAACTAATCCTCATTGACTGAAATACACTGAGACTCGACCAAAGCTGCAAAAAATATCCTCTACAAAGAAAGAGGATTGCCTGAAATGCATTGCCTCAAAGGGAGGTCGAAGCCAATTCGATAACAACTTCTAAGAGAGAATTACATAATTATTTGGGGAGGACAAGTTTGCAGAGCTATGGGGAGAGCGCGGGGGAGTGGGGTTGATTTGGAAGCTCTTTTAAAAGTTGGCACAGACACGATGGGCCGAATGGCCTCCTTCTGTGCTGTATAATTCTATGATTCTAAGAAAGACACAACAAACTGCATTAGATCGAGTTGCTGGTGGGTGGGTTGGACATTTACCAGCTGTTATTATACAATCTGAAAAACACACGTGCCCATGATTGCAGACACATGGAACAGAAAAGGAACACGTCTGATACAGTTTGTTTCTTTCAAAGGTATATTTATTTCGCTCGATTGCCAAAGACCCACAAAACACACATTCACTACACCTTGTTTTCATTGGTTCAAAACTTTGTTCCATAAACTTACAATACACTTTACATTAGTATAGTGTCTTCATGTTGGGCGGACATCTCAGAGGGCTTAGTTTGCCCAATGAAGGAGCTTTATTGCAGCAAGTGTCACAGCTTGTGGATGTCTGCCTTGACATAAGGACCCCCTACAGCACCCACCTTCTTCAGTCCTCATCACTCTCAGCTTCCTCATTCCTCATCACTCTCACCTTCCTCACTCCTCATCACTCTCACCTTCCTCACTCCTCATCACTCTCACCTTCCTCACTCCTCATCACTCTCACCTTCCTCACTCTTCATCATCGCCCGTTTCAGGCAGTTCTGATGAATTCGGAGAGGCTTTCTTCCTTCTGCTGTTGCAGTTTAAGCTAATTGGTGAAGTCATGCAGTTAAGGCTGGTATCATGCAGGTGCGTGATATTTTGTAACCTTTCTCACTCAGAGGGTTAGATGGTGAGTCCTGATTGTGCCATAAGAGGTTGCTCCTCTGGTTACAGTACTGCCCTCCTCCGACCTCACAAACATGCTCAATTCTTCCACACCAGCTGAGCTTTACAGTTAAACCTTCTGGAGCCTCAACAACAACAACTTGCATTTATATAGTGCCTTTCAAGCGTGGTAGTGTCACAGTTGCAGAGTCTGACAACGAGCCAAGGGGAGAAGAATGGGGGAGGTGACTGTAAGCACGATCAAAAAGGAAGGTGTTTAGGCTGGATTTGAAGGTGAGGAGGGAGAGGGCAAGGCGGAGGGATAGAGGGAGAGTTCCAGAGTTAGATTCCAGAGTCCCAGTCCACAACCACATCTGCAGTGGTTAGCGAGTGCATCATATGTGACCAGTTCACGGGGAGCTCAATGTGATCATTCCCCTCCAGTTAGTGGCCATTTAACCTGAATAGTGAAGAGCCACCATAACCCTGAGGTTTAAACGGGGTCTGGCTGCTATCCTGAGTTCTGACGCTATATCACCATCTGGGCTGCGATCCAGTCCACGCGGATGCTCTGATCCTCTCTGTTGTGCTGTAAGTGATATTAGTGCCACCTCAGCCACACTCCTCCTGGACAGGGGCCAAGACTAAGCTGGGAATAACTGCACAACCTGACTGTCACATTTTCTCATTCAGTGAGATGGCTGTGGAGCTGGCGAAGATGTCCCGATGGTGGGACAGTCCTAGGGTTTGCTCTTCTGAGCTTGGGGCTGAGGCACCTTCCTTGGTGGGGTCAGGGGTTAAACTGTGGTATTTCACGATGCGATCCAACAACAACTTGCATTTATATAGCGCCCTTCACGGCGGCTCGGAGCGCTTCACAGTGGCGGAGCCCGATGCCGAGGGGAGGGGGAAAGTAATCTTAGGCGTGGTCGAAGAGGAAGGTCGTGCAAGGCAACCTGAAAATGGGGGCAAGGCGAAAATGTTATAAAATGCTGTAGATTAAAGACTCAAATTGTTTGTTTGTTTTCCGTATTTCCTGTCTACAAATTTGTCTGGGACATCACTCCAACATGAAAGTTGCTATATATAAATGTAATATTGTTGTTGTTGCAGGAATCCCGGTATCTTGCAGTGTGTCTGGTGAAGCGCGGCATCTCAAAACTCAGGCTTTTCCTCTCGGGCGGTTTCTGTTTCTGCCCGAACAGCAAAGGGCAATGAGATAATTGGGGAACTGAAGATGGAGGAATTAACGAGGTGACAGTGTGTGGGAGGTGATTTCATTTAACACTGAATTGAAGCTAATAAACCTTCTGGCTGTTACTCTGGGTCGAGCTCAGAAATGGATGTTGTTTGGCCTCTAGTTGGGACCTCGCTCACCTTTGCACTAAAGCTATTCTGTATTTATGTGTTTGGAAAATAAGAAGTGTGTTGTCCTCTCTCAGCCTCGACTGGCAGAGTTACACACTGAGGGTTTGGCTGTGTTGGAGTCGGTGTGCCTGGTGCCAGGCTGGCTTCCCTTGCTGCCAGGAGCAGGCTTTGATGAATCAGGTCCAGCAGCTCCATGTTGCTGCCCTCCCTGCTGCCACTCACCATCCCCAGCCCGCCCGCCCCATCTGTGTGAGAGACTTCCCACTAAAGCCATCAGTGTTTACTGACAGGGCAATCACCCTCCGCGTACATCTCTGCGCCGGTTCATAGCAAGGACCCGCTCAACCAAACCTCAGCACAGCCAGTGTGGTCCATCTGGGAGATTTGGAGGGTTTTTTTCTTTAACATTCAAGATTCAAGTTTTCGTTTTGTTACCCCATAAAAGCTAATAATAGGGAATTAGAGAAGCAGAGAAATGTTTGAACAGTTACTCATTTGTTGGCAGATGTTGTTTGAGTGTGTTAAGATGTCAGTACGCCATCTTTCAAAACCTGATAGAATACAAATCACAGCAACAGGAAGGCCACAGCCAGAGAGTGGCAGGGCTCAGGACCTCAGCAACGTTATAAAAATTCACATCTCATCCTGAATTCATTTACTCAGGCTCACTGTACCCATTCTTCCCACTCGGCTCCTGCTAACTCGTAGCGTGGTCCACCCGAGATGAGCAGCGGGAAACTCGCTGGATGCTCACACACGTGGCACCCTCACACGCAATGCAGGGGACTCGCTCACAGGCAGGTCAGAGGACATGCTGACACATGTCAGGGGGCATGTTCACACATGTATCATGGGGCATGATCACACACGTCAGGGGGCATGTTCACACACATGTCCGTTGGCATACTCACATGTCATGGGACATGTTCACACACATCAGGGAGCACGGTCACTAAATGCAGTAAGAGACTGACGATTTGTGATTCCAATGAGCCTTTATCTCTCTGAACCCTGACATCAAGCTATTCAGACTTTTTCTGAAATCCCCATGATTAACATCCACTTCTACAACAAAAACAACAAAATTACATTCATGGAGCAGCCGGAGCCTGATGAACGGAGGGAGTGGGCAGGTTGGTAGGGAGTCAGCAGGTCAGAGAGGTAGGAGGGGGCGAGGCCATGAATGGCCTTAAAGGTGAGGACGAGGATCTTGAACTCGATCCTCTGGGGGATGGGGAGCCAGTGGAGTCGGGCGAGGGTGGGAGTGATGGGGTCGGGCGAGGGTGAGGGTGATGGGGTCGTGCGAGGGTGGGAGTGATGGGGTCGGGCGAGGGTGGGAGTGATGGGGTCACTGGTGCGTGAGAGTACACGAGCTGCAGAGTTTCGGATGATCTGCAGGATGTGAAGGGAAGAGTTGGGAAGGCCGATGAGGAGGGAGTTCCCGT